GAGGCTCGTTCGAACTCGATCTCGCTAGACAAAGATCCTCGATTCTTCAATTGCTTTCGGTCCAATGTTTCCTCGCGGAACACTTCTGCTACTGAATTATGTGAAAGATTGACCGGGTTGTAAACGAAAAGATCCTCTTTCCTTTATAAAGCGACGTAACAATTGTCGGACCATGGAAAAAGCTTCGCTAACTTTCCGATTCGATTATACCTGAGACAACGGTAATTCGATAATGAGTTTGGTTAAAAGAAACAGTACCTTTTCTATCGGTTTTCCTTAATCTGTATCGTCTGGTTAGCGGAAAAAGTTAATTGTGTTGACACTCAGTGTAGACATAATTATTTGTCTTGCAATGGCGATATAAAACAGTGAACTCTAATCAAATACACAGTATGCGATACCTTGAACAAACGTAACATACGAAGATGAAACTAAAATAATACTCGATTAAATCAATAGCTAAAGTATAAACAGAGTGAGGTGTTAACATCCTAATCACCGTTCGAAAGTAAATTGAAGTCTCCGGATGATCAAGTGGGCGCTTCTAAACCACCACAAGATCCCGATTACACGAACTAATGGTTCCAGGCGATAATTACACGGCTACGAAGCGTATCGAGCCGGTGGCCAACGATGATCGTGCACGATGATCGAAGGAGAAAAAAAATGTCGAAGACCGCCTGCCTACCTGGCAGGCCGTTCGAATCTTCAATGGCGCCTCGGCCGAACGTGAACCGACAATGGGGCCCCGTTGTCAGGAAAGGGGGCTTCCTTGGAACCTTTGTCAAGGAACGTACGTGGAAGCCGTAGCTGAGAACCCTCCAGAGATCCTCGTGGATGACTTGCGTCTCGCGAGCCGTTCCTCGCTACTTGAAGTCAATTTTTTTTCCTTAACAGAACAGCTTTCCATCCGCCTAGCCGCGAACGATTGTCTGAGCCACGTCAAAATTCTTCGCTAATGGGCCGCTTACGAAGATACGTGTTGTTTTTTCGAACGAGCCCGTGGGAGTCTTGGGTCTCATTACCCAGATAACTTCAACCGGGAAACGTCTTTCTGTTCGAGCAAGATAGCAAACCCGTTAGAGTAATTAGGAAGAGTTCAGCTTTGATTGTAACGGAAGTCTTTGGACTCGAGATATTTTATCAACGTTGTCAGCAGAGAGATTATCTGGCAAATGTATGTTAAATTGGATTTGATGGATATTATCGTTCATAAAATTTTGTACTCTGTGGTTTCGAATTTCTTCAGGCTCGAATCTCTTACAGTTGCCAGCCGAATCGGAGTGCAATTACGGTATAACAAAAATGATCGTGAAGCCGCACATTACCCACTGAAAATCATACGGTTCGAACGCGATTAGCACGCGGAATTGCAGTTAAAAGTCTCGTGGCGAGAGGATTTATTAAGCGCACGCGTACGGGAAAATTAAACAGTAATTGAACAGTGATTCGCGGTGTCATTTTGTCCGAAACACTTGGCGAGTTAGGACCCCTGCGTCTATACGGTTATATACATCGATCACGGTCTGAAAGAACGTGTGCTGGCAGCCTGTAATTTTCGCACCCCCGTAAGAAGTCGTAACCCTCCGACCACCGAAATTACCGCCGTTTGTGAACGATTCCGCGCCAATCAGACGCAGCCTCGTCGCGAGCACGAGAACGATCGCGATAACGAGCAGTCAAGTCGATCGGTTCGTGGGGTGAATTTGGAAACCAGACTCTGCGCACTGAAATTTCTTCTTATACTAAACACTATTTCTTCTTAGGCTAAAAAAAGATAATTCGGAAACAGTTGCAATCGGGGTGTGCACAATTGAGTCGCGTCTGTCGAAGACATTTCGATTAACTTCACCGCGGGAGTCTTTCTTTCATCGAGTGAGCTCTGAAAACTTGAAAAGACCGGTAATTATTACGATCCCCACAAACTTATCCGTCAGAGTGTATTAAAAATCTTTGTATTTCGAGCAAGCGAGAATGCCATGGAGTATCTTGGTTTCTCATTTCGCGAGGAAAAGGAATATTTCTTCCCTCGTTCTCAAAGAAAGACTCTTTTTCCTTTCCCTGCTTCTTGCATCCCTTTGTCCGCCCTCGAAATGAGAAAGCTTCTCGATACCGAAAATCAAGTCTCGTCAAAGGGAATACTTTTCGCATTGTCCTGATGAAGAGACAACGTGTCTTGAGCCAGGTTTTTCGATGTAGCGTGCACAATGGGCGTAACTAATTAATTTGTTCGTGCCACTTTGGAACGAACGAATTCATTCGTTTAATCGAGTAATAACACCTCAACGCGCGGAACTGACAGACGGTGCAACGTCAAGTCGTTCGCTGGACGCGATAATTTCGTTCGATAGCGGAAGCAGCCACTTCCGCTCCCTTTCTTCGTTTCGACGTTGACGGTTCGTTACGGTTTAATTCGATGACGGGGCTATGGGAACTTATTAGTAAAATTTCAGGGTAGGAACTATTTCTGTTTGAGTCATGCACGTTATACTCTTTGTACTTTCGTGTACTGAAAGTTTTCGTGTCATGAAAATAGTTGTCTAATAAATAGTAAATAGTAACTTGGCAAATTTTGAGCTTCAGACGTAGAAGACATGAAGGTTTTTGTCCTGTGAAAATATTTTGATGGTTGTTCGATCGAATTTGAAATTTACAAGTCTTCGAAAGTGTATAATATTTGGTGGGCGAGCAAGAAAAGGTTAGCGACGTAGCTGTATGCTTAACAACCGCCAGAAAATGGTCCTAATCGATATGAAAACTGGCCGGTGCGTCGCGACGAGGCGCCCGCATAGTCGGTTCGGGACACGCGTGTGCGCGCACCCGAGCGCGGGAGAAACAAAACGCAGCAGTAGACAAAGGAAGCTACAAAGGGATTAGAAAAGACACAGGGACTCGGCAAAAGACGAAGAAGCTCGTTGGAAGATCGCGAATCAGTCTACATCAAGAAGCGGAAGCGTATTCGCGCGGCAAACGAAGGAAACAAAGACGAGGAGGAAGAAGAAGAGCGATAGCGAACCGAAGGATGTGGAAGGGAGGAGTGTGTGGCAGCATGTGGGAGGGTAGGCTGAAGGTGGAGGTAGAGAAAAGACGAAGAAAGCCGGCACTCCCATACAAAAATATCACCGTTAACGATTATCAACCCCTCTTTCCGTCCCCGCGCTCGTTATATTGTGTCCCCGCCGCGCGCGCAAATTTAGAAACAAAAGACGGATGGAAGGCGCGGTCTGATTGGCCGACCGGTCCGCGACTCGTCTCTCTGATTGGCCCGCGGGACCGCACCCATCCTGCAATGGCCGCTTTGTCGTTTCACGGCGCCGCTCTCCTCTCGCTCTTCTCTGTGTGTACGCGCCTGCACGCTTCAGCCACGAAGCTTCAACAACCCCGTGAAGCGCGACTCCGTACCTACCTATCCTTTCCCCTCTCCTGTCTTTTCACCCTTCTCCAAAGCCTTCGTGGCCTTCCTCCTTCCGCCTCTCTCCGTCTTTCGAACGGAGCCCGTCCTCGTTGCTCTTACCCCCGGTCCGTTTACCCCTTGTACACCTTCGCCGGCGGTTCCTTTGCCACCTTCCACCTTTGCTTCTCGCGGACCGCCACCCTCTGACCCACCCTCTGAATTATATCGAAACGCGATCAGCGCTCTACGCTCGCCGCGTATCGGATACCTGTGGACGTTACTCGCGCGTTCATCCACGTGCCACGCTCCGATTTTCTTCTCCCTTTTCCGCGTCTAGGTTTTTCGGCCAGATTTTGACAACGTGGCGCACGCACGCCGGAGGGGAGAGATCGAGAACGAGAGGTACACGGGGAGGGTTGAAGAGGGAGAGGGAAAAGGGAGAGAGAGGGAAGCTTGTCCCGGGTCCGCCATGCGGAAACCTATCTGAGCCTAGTACTCCATGGGTCCGCGGTAACTAACCGTCAGCCCGGGAAAATTCTCCCTTTTATGGTCGTGCCTTTTGGTCCTGCTACTCTCCACCCTCCACCCGACACTGAACCACCCCTTTCGCGACTGTTCTTTCGCTGCTTTGTACGCGATGTCGATAATTCTGCGCGATATCACCGCGAGATCGAAACTGTTGCGAGTGGGGTTTGCGCCAAAAATGGGGTGCAAGATTTTTCCCTCGAATACTTTGCAAAATAAAAATTGACCAGTGTGCATGAACACATTACAGGGCTAAACCTAAAGAAATAGAGATACTTGTGACTCTATCAGTCACTGATTGTAAATAAAAAAAATGGGGTGCGAGGCTTTTGGACCTCAAAATAAAAAATAACCCGTGTGGAGTAATAAATATAAAGAAATAGAGTTACTTGTAACAAAAATTCAGTAATTGTAACGAAAGAAAAATAATCTCATGAAAATTAATTGCGGAATTGCATCGAAAATAAACAGATTCGTATTGACGCTGTAGAAATTAACAAAATTAATTGCATGGTAATTTATACGAGTGCAACTAATACCAAACGTTCGTTGATTGATAACGATTCTCTTTGACGAATAAAACGCAGCCGCGAAAGCCGTTTGCAAAAAGCAGTCTCACCGTTGTAACTCTACGGGGGAATTTTCGTCGACAGAACGAACGCTCATTGTAATTGCGTGAAAACGTATTGGAGCTTTATATCTTCGGTGATTATGCCGTGTGATCGTGCCCGAACGAAACGGTAAATTTTCACAAGAGCGTGTAACGTTGTTAATTCTCGTTAACGAACGAAATTATCGACCAAGCGGATTGTGCTCGTGATAGCGAATTATATTGCGAGCTTTACGCGATGTGCAAACATTCGTTCACGATTCGAAAACTGTGGCGAGAAATTAGCGAGGAGTGGATCTAAAAAATTCGAGGGATATAAGATCGATTCTAGTGGATCGGGTTCAGGAGTATCGAGAAACACGATACCACTGAGTCGCGAATTTCAGCGAGGCAAGGTTACGATGGTGGTATCGAGCTTCCGATTCGTAGGTCACGAGGTCGGATTTCATAGGTCTTTTGATTTTCGCTCACCTGTATCCTGTCCTCGGGCAGATCGGTTCGAAGGCTGAGCATCTCGCGGGCATACACGTCAGGATAATGGGCTTCCTTGAACGCTGCTTCCAGCTCCTCCAGCTGCTGTGACGTGAAGATCGTCCTGGAGCAACAACCGTATGAACCTAGTTATATGCCATTACAGCTTTTCCCTTAAAGCTAGCCTACGCTCAATGGGGACATTCACACCTGTCAATCTTTCTTCATATTTTAAATCGCTAACAATTGTGGTTGACTTCTCAAGTTTTTAAATACCACATTTGTAAAATGTACAAGATGGAAGCAGAATGATGTGAATTAAAAGATTCAGAAGTTTAACATTCTTATCGTACAAGGGTTGATGTATCAATTATTCAGTTAACAAGTTACCCCTTATGTTAAGGTTAAGTCCATGATTTGTCAAGTTAATTAAATTACACAAAACTTGAAAGGTAAATTACTGAAACTTTCAGTTTGCTACCCCTAACATTTCCATAACATTCCATGAAAAGTTTTACACAAAACTTGAACGGTCTTCAGAACAATTATTTTGAAGATAAATGTGAAATATTTCCGTGTGAAGTTTGCACGCAAAATGGTGGGAATTCTCAAAATATCGGAACGAAATCAACTTCTATAATTAAATTTTTCAATAAATAATTTGAGGATGAATTCGTTCATCTGATGTGCAATCATTAGCGAACGATGATTGGTATTGGATTATCTGTCGCTTCAAAATTCCTGCAAACTCATTACCACCGATTACACGTTGAAAAGTTCGAAATGATGTGTATACGTTCGCCCGGAATAAATTTATCATTATTGCGAACGATTGTTCGGCGGATAATTAAGGGAAAGCACGGAAGAATAGTCCTCGATGCAACGCCGAAAATTTTCCCCAGTGGTTATTAATTATTCACGCGTGTTTCTATCGCGCTGATTTTACGGGTCAATTTAATTTTTTCTATTTTAGGAGACATAATGGTAAACTAAACATTGGTGGTTGATGTTTGGGGTGAGACACTCACCTATGACGGCGCTTCTTTTTCTTCTTTTTGCTGAAACCGGAGAGACCGTCGACCGTGAAGTCTTTTCCTGATTCTATGTTGTGACCCACACCTGTAACAGTATTGTTAAAATTATTTACTTTTGTTGGACTTCTTTTAAACAATGTTATTTTTAAATATCTTAAAGATTAGATAGCTCTCTGTTTTTATAAGCAATAATAGCTACAATGATATATTAAATTGAAACAAATATTTCAACCCTCTGCACTTGAAGCTGTTTCTGCTCTTGTCAGATGTCAAATTCAAAACTTTTTAGTTAAATGATTTACTATTATCTTATCATTAATTGCCACTATTGTTTCTCTATGTTTATACATCATTATACATGTGTATAATTCTCTGGATTTATTTAAAAAATATTGTAAACGAAATTGTTGTATGAATCTCAGTAAATGTGAGCATCTTTGTGCAAAGGTTTAAAAGTAACAAATACATAATAATAAAAGTTCCTGTCTTACTTAATAACTTATTGTTCCACCATGTTTATACGTCGTTATACATGTGTATAACACTCTGGATTTATTTAAAAAATATTGCAAATCAAATTGTTTTATGAATCTCAGTAAATGTGAGCACCTTTGTGCAAAGGTTTAAAAGTAACAAATACATAATAATAAAAATTCCTGTCTTACTTAATAATTTATTGTTCCACCATGTTTGTACGTCGTTATACATGTGTATAACACTCTGGATTTATTTAAAAAATATTGTAAATCAAATTGTTGTATGAATCTCAGTAAATGTGAGCACCTTTGTGTAAAGGATTAAAAGAGACAAATAATAATAACAGTTCCTGTCTTACACAATAAAATAATCTAATGTTCCACCATGTTTATACATCATTATACATATGTATAATACTCTGGATTTATTTAAAAAATATTGCAAATCAAATTGTTGAACGAATCTCAGTAAATGCGAGCACCTTGTGCAAAGGGTAACGTAATAATAAAAGTTGCAGTCTTGAAAGATGAAATTGACTTGACAAAGCAATAAGACAAAGTTGCGCAATTGATCACAAAGTATCCAATAGCGCTGAAATTTGCAACGTATTCTCCGCAGAGTATTTTCGCAAAAAAATCGCCAGTTAGCGCGCAGTAACGGTCCATTAGACTCGGAGCTCGTCATTTCATAGCACCGACTGTAATTGATAATTATACACGCCGCTTTGTTCCAGCCGCGCGTACATCAAGGATCAAATTACCCATTATACCTGACTTGCCAATGAATCGAAACCATGCGTATCCCACGCAAATTACGTTCAATGTTTAGCTTGTATTAGTATCCTGACTCTGCTTCCCTATCACTCGATATCAGTTAACGAGAAAAATTTCATATTTAATGAACTGCACTTTCGAAAATCAAATTTTATTCAGAAAATTACACTTCATGGATTAAAGCATTGGTGCAGTGAAAAAGACTGTGTAGGACACTTATGATTATTAAAAGGATTATTTCTGTTTTGGATAAGTTTTAAGTTTTAAGATTTCAGGACTCTTCAAGTACTTGCATTGACAAATTCTAAAATTTGTAATTAGGTGAGTAAGGGTTATGGGTGATGTATTTCTATGGACAGATAAATGTTATGTATACTTCTGTCTTCAACCCCTTGTAGTATGATTTAGGGTACATTAACTAATCACAGCTATATTACAAAAAAAAATTATGGACTTGCTCCGAATTAAAAATTCGAGTAAAATTAGTCTCAGTTGAAGAAGTATGTCATTACTCAAATTTATCAAAATACTTCCAGGGGGTTGAAAGAGTAGAATTTTATTTTCTGTGCCAGTCTTGCTACGCACGTCTGCATCTACTGACACCAAGTTCTACTTAAACTTTCATTTTCCCTGTCTCCCTAAATATTTGTGGAAAATCTACCATTTTTTAATAGAAATATGAACGTTATCGTAATTAATCATCAACCTGCTTGCAAGTTATAGTTTAAGCTCCAGATCGTTAGACACAATTAAAAGTACTAAAATGTGGAGAACAAGGTTTCCTACGTAACCCAAATTCGCCCAACACTTTGATCTCTTTTCCTGTTCCAATTTCACCCTTTGTAACTATCGACACGCCACTAAGGAGCGCACATTACGCAGTCCCACTTTCTCTTTTATCCCGAAATTTTTTTGTCAAACGTTTGCAACGTCAAGTTTAAAGCATTATCTCGAATAGAAAAAAAGGAAGAACTCAATTAACGACACGACGAGTTTCGACGAGGAAACGGTGGTCGAGATCGAAACAGAAATTCCTCCCTTACTCGATATCGACTGTCGTAGCAAGGACTTGACACTCGATATTCCGGCAGAATACTCGGAAAATGGATTACCGATAACGGAATTTCCTACGGTTCGATGGAACGGTTTCCAAGGAGAAAAAATTGCCGTGCAAAATAGTGAAAAATAGAAGGAAAAAGTCACGAAAGCCTGTTGTCCGGTCGGATTTTTCATCTGAAAAATTCTAGGTTCTCCAATTACGGAGCTAACGGTGCTCCTATGATACAGAAAGAGAAAAACAACTCCTTCATTTTTTTTTAAATATGCCGTTAGTGACGATTGGTACGTGGCGAGTAAATGGCAGTTTTTTCCCCGGTGGCCACGAGAGGCAGAAAATTAGAAAGGTTTGGAACGGGCAGCCAGGACAGGACCCGTGGCCCGAAATTAATTATCAATTATAAATTAATTTCGAATTAACGAGCGAAAACCGGCTCGGCGCGCGCCGCTCTTCCCACAATGAAACCCTCTCCCCGGGGCTAACTCGTTACTACAGTTGTTGGTGGTGCCGGTGCCGTTACTACCGGCGGCTAATTAACTATTAATTAAGAGCTTAATTCCAATTATACGTGTTCTTCGACTAATTGGACCCACGAAACGCATTGCTGACGTCACGCTCGCTATTACTCCACACGTCCTACTTCTTTCATGTTTATTCTCATCGGAAATTTTACCTCCATGTTGCACATTTTTCTGCGCGATGCCCCATCAAAATTCTATACAATATAAATAAAATTCTATCGAAATAAAATTTCTCACTTTTTATATTTAATTCACACCGAGTTAAAGTTGAGTTACACATTTTTTGATATTAATATTCAAACCAGAAAATTAATGTCTCAGAATAAATGCAGGAACTATTTCATCCCTTCGTTGATTCTTTTTAAACCTTCAGTGTAAACATAATGTACAAACAGAATGTTGTAGTATTGTATCATAGTTATATTTTAATGAGCAGTGACATGTTGAAGTGTTACATATGTGACATATGTACATATGTGATATATACTAATGTATATTGTAGTATTGTAACATTAGTTATACTTTAATGGGTAGTGACATATTGTTGAAGTGTTACATATGTGACATATGTACATATGTAACACTTCAACAATATGTTACATATGTACATATGTACACATGTGAAATATACTAATGTATATTGTAGCATTATAACATAGTTATATTTTAATGGGTAGTGACATGTTGAAGTGTTACATATGTGACATATGTACATATGTGAAATATACTCAATATGTTCAGCAGTGACATGTTGTTGAAGTGTTACATATGTGACATATGTACATATGTGAAATATACTAATGTATATTATAGTATTGTCACATAGCTATATTTTAATCAGCAGTGACATGTTGTTGAAGTGTTACATATGTGACATATGTACATATGTGAAATATACTAATGTATATCGTAGTACTGTAACATAGCTATATTTTAATCAGCAGTGACATGTTGTTGAAGTGTTACATATGTGACATATGCACACATGTGAAATATACTATATACTGAAGTCAGGTCTCAGGTGCTTGCACAAAAATGCTTCAAAGTTAAAATATCACTCTGAAAGTCCCAACAAAAAATTGAGCAAGTTTCCTGATATATTTAAAAAGCATCTATTAAGTTTTCGCTGCAATTGAAATTCGTTTAATCCAGAAATAAAATGAACGATCAAGACATCGATGGTTAGTCTTTGACAAGGGTGTAATGTACCCTTTCTGTTCGAAATAGCGATTGAGAATCGCATTGGATAAATTGTTAGGTGGGTGCAAAATAAAGTGTTTCAACTTTGTGCGCAAGGCACGGTCAAAGCTAGTTTTCCGAATGCGTGAGCATCGGAAAAAGGCCAGAGAAGCAAAAGAGGAATTCCGTGTTGAATTTTTTCGAGTCGAGTAGTTTCACGGTTGCTCGCGACCCACGGCGCATACAAGGCGAAAATAGCGAAGGCTGCTTTTGTAAAGCATTGTTAATTCTTCCTTGTTCGTCTCGCGTTCTGCTCTTTTGCGTTCATTTCGTCGGTTGCGTTTCACCGCTTTTTTTCAAAACGTTTCCTCAAAGTCAAAGGAACGTTCCATTGGCGACATTTCAAAAAGAAATGAATTTTTTTTTGTGAACGAAATTTGTTTAGAAACAAGATTCGATGAACTAATTAATTCGGTGGATCTTATTTTCAACGAAAACCGTCGTCTTAAATTCGACAGATGGGAAAGTATTCCGTCGTCGCGAAGACGAAGAACTTAATGAGGAAGCGTCGGGCGCATTCAGTCGATTCAAGCAAATTTCTCGCGTGCAAGCTTAATTTTATCCAGTGTTTCTTCTCGACGCATACACGAATCCCTACAGTGGTCAGAAGTGTCTTTTCGACTACTGTGCCAAGTAAATTTCGCTCTATTTTACGCGCTCTGTATGTGTAGCGACTAAAGACGCTGAAGAACGTTGCCCTACCTTCAGCCAAAATAATTAATTTTTCAAATTAAAGTAATTGAAATGTCCAGCAACGCTCAGATTACAAAATCTAATCAAAAGCTGTAACTTCAGAAAAGTACATCACTTTTAAATTAGTTCACATCAAAAACGAACTTGTGACAAATAATTGAAATAAAATGGTAAAAGTAATCTAATGAAATTTCTATCCAACGTCAAGAACTCAAGAGTTCGAGACATTTCAAAGAAAATGAGTCGCATAGGAAATATTTGAGGCTCAACCTAGCACGCATTGTTTTACAAGATCGTAGGAGAGGCTCTTTACACCCGTTTCTTC